GGGGGGGGAAACCCTACCATAGTGCCTCAAATTTTACAGATAGCCACCGGTTGTCTTCCACCGTGAAGACCATGGCATGATAGCGGAGGACGGTCCCGGCAATGGAGCAGCCAAGCGATCTGGTGGACGGCGGATGGGTGAGTATCGGTAACCAAGTTCACATTGCAAGCAATTACAACTTACATGAAACCGATCAGGAAAATACACGCCACACCCAGCTTCTTCTTGTTCTTCATATTCAGACGGAAGATGATGCCTGTGGGGATGGTCATGACGTAGAAGTCGGAGACCACACTGAAGATGCCCTGCGTGAAGTCGAGTTGACGCGAGGCGACGTTCATCCGCGAGGTGTTGGCCGTCGATCCCCAGCCCCCGTCCCCCCGATGGGGCACCATCCAGGCCAGCATACAGATGGTCAGCGTGATGTATCCCACCACAACAAAGGCGATGCCACTCCAGATGAGGGCCCGGGCGCGGCGAGAGGGCGAGAAGATGCGGAGGTAGAACGTGAGAATCGAAACCTTGGTGAACATGGCGCTGATGTTATACAGGCACCCCGCCGTCACCGAGTACTATCTCTATCAGGGCTGTAACAGAATCAGATGGAGTCCAATGAGTTGATCATACCTTGAAGAACCACGGCACGATCGAGGAGACGGGGATATCCCATGCATGACGTCCCCATACATCCTTGAGGACTGTTTTGGAATGAGTTACCCCGATCCTGCGAGGCAAAACAAAAGGGACGACAACGTACAAACCGGAATGAGAGTCCCACAGAATGAAGCAGCGCCGACCTAGTAGATAAGAAAGATAGATTCATCAGGAAGACAGATCGAGTAGGTTATTATCCTGTGCGGGCATGCATGCTCACAGCGCCAAGCACCAGAAGATCTACGACGGTCCTCAAAGTCAGCCGGCTGACTCGATCGCAACAGAGTCGAGGATTTGCGGAATCACTTACAGTCGTCAGTCCCGAGTTGCTTTGTCTTCAGACGGACATAAGCCCGGAGCACAAAGGCAATGACCATGATTGGCAGAGTCAACCAAATCGACAGCCTCCCGGCCCAAGAGATGGACACCGGGTCCACGAAATTAGTCACCTGCCCCGGAGGGGGTTGCGACATGGGAATCTTCGACAGGTCCATGGCCGAATGATTGATTTGCGCTGGATAAAAAGAAAGCTCGCGGAAACGTGGTGTTCCAGCGAGAAACGGACTGTGGAAGACGTATTATAATCAATCCAAGCATGAGTTGGAGGATCTGGCCCCCAATCTTCATGGACCTGTTCCTTGAGACTTGACTGACGAGCCTTGTGCAGACACTCCGCCACCCTCCGCCACCACGCTCTGGCACAAAGTACCGTTTGCATGCCTCGTGCAGCCGGCAAGCGCGGGTGGCAGACCAGAACCCATTTTCCAAGAAGGGTGGGCGGCCATAATCGTGGCCCCAATGCATGCATGCAGTGGTGGCAGCCCTTCTTCAATCCACAGGCTTTGCCCTAACTCTGGAGAATTTCCGATCCACAGCTTCGAAGGAACTCGGGCCGCAACTTTACTTGACACTCGGACCTTGGGATATGTTGAGCGAGAGAATAACAGTAGTTTCATTCTCACCCCAGTCTCTTTGCTGGATAGGGAACATCAGTGAGTCGGGATGTGAGCTGTGAAGCGGGGAACCTGGCGAGGAGCAGAGACATGATTGAACGTTTTGTCCGCACCCTGTCACTCTGAGGGCGCTAGCAGGGAGCAAGTGGGGGGGAGGGGGGGGAAGGAAGAAAAAGAAAACAAGAAAAGTGAAGATCAAAACAAAATAGAAAATGTAGAAAATAAAAGCAAAAAGAAATATGAGAAAAAGAAAAGAAAAGAAGGAATGCAAAAGCTGAAATGTAGCAAGGGCCAGATCCATGCATAGTTAGTTAGTGCTTATGATACCTTCGTCCTTCCGTAGTGAATGACAAGCTCGCTCTCACATAAGAGGTGGCTGCACTGAGTCCATGGCCAATATCCGCACCATGCCCGCCAACATTCCTAGCCACCGACTGCAATCACCATGCTCCCCATTCTCGTCATCTGCGTCTTGCTCCCGCTGGCCGCGTCCGTCTTTCTTCGGATGGTCCTCGACTCTACCCAAGACGGCCAAGAACCACCCCCCGTCGACTTGCCTATGCCCTTCATCGGTCCCATTATTCGCATGTGGTGGATGGGATTTGACTACTATAGAAAGCATCGGTGAGTGAGATCTATGATGATGGGATTGCAACAACTGACATAACTCACAGCCAATTCCCCATCTATACGATCCGTCTACCGGGCATACGGCTGTATGTGGTCAACTCCACCTCCCTCATCTCGGCCGTGCAGCACCATCCTCGAACGCTCTCCTTTTCCCCGATCCTGGCCCGGGTTGCAGCCACCTTGATTGGGGCCAGCGACGCTGGTTGTGAAGTCTTGGGCGATGATGCAGAGAACGGCTTCATCCGCCGGTTCCATGACTTCAACCACTCCAGTTTGTCGACCGGGCCTGGCTTGGAGGTCATCCGAACGAGATTCTGGAACCTCGTCACCTCGTCTCATTCCAGGCAATTCCTCGAGTCTCCCGGGTTTACCGGTATGTATCAATGGATCTCCCACGAGGTCATGCTGGCCACCTCGGAATCCATGTACGGCGCGCAGAACCCGTTCCGAGATTCTGCAACCCGCGCAGCCTGGCAGTTCGTTGAACCCCCATTGCCTCCCTGAGCCCCTTCGCAAAGTCC